ATTGATCAAGAAACAATGGACTACACACATGGAAGTATCCAAAAGAAGTAACAATGCAAATTCCTAAAAGGGGTTGTACGAGGGGGAATAGGACTGGGGTTGAGGAAGAGGCGGGTTTAGCAGGTGTTAATTTTCATTATAAGCCTGTTGGTACATTAAGATTTTCTTTATTATTTGACATTTTAAAAAATTTACAAAAAAGACAACGCATCATCTAGACTACATCTTTCATAGTCATCTATATAGATAACCTATCAAGGTGCCTTAAAGTTGTGGACTGAAAAGGAAAACTGGGGCATTTTCTTGGTATATGTCCATTTACTATTACCAATACTGTGAGATTGCAGTAAAAGCAATAACTGAGCAACAAATGTTTTTCCGAGGCTGTGTTCCAGGTTCCATAGGAGATAAAAAGATGGACGCAGTTTGGTCAAGGGCTTCAATCATGTTGCAACCTAGCTGAGGGTACTGGAGACGAGGAAGAGAGCTAGATGGTGAGGAGTTGGCATTCTCATCTTGTCTACGTCTATTCCATATTTTGCTAGGTACTTTACCTACCATACTCTCGATGGAAAACATGCACCATAGAAAAGATAAAATATAGAAACCTATGGGGGTTCAGTGGGTGGAAAATGGTCTTTATTTGTTAGGATTAAGCAGAGCACTTAGGATGGACCTTAAAACAGAAAGAGAGAGAGACTCCCACACTGTTGTCCATGACTGTAGGAGTGGGGGGGCGGGATGAGCGCAGGAGGGCAAAGAAGGAAAAATTGGGACAACTGTAATGGAATAACAATTCAAAATGGTTAAGAAAAAAAATAGAGACTCATAGCTACAGAGAACAGACTGACAGCTGTCAGAGGGAATGGGAGTTCAGGGGCTGGGTGAAAAAGGTGAAGGAATTAAATAAAAAATGAAAACCTCATAGATACAGACATGGTATGATGATTACCAGAGGGAACGGGGGTGGGGGAGGTAGAAGAGAGCATGGGGGGATAAATGGTGATGGAATGAGACTTGGGGTGATGAACACACAATACAGTACACAGATTATGTATTACAGAATTATGCACTTGAAACCTATATATTTTAATTAACCAATGTAACTGCAATAAATCCAATTAGAATATTTTATAAGGAGAAAGGGATCTCCACAAGCAGAGATGGGATGGGAGAGGCATGGACATATTTGCTGATTGAGAAACTCGTATTTGGAGCTTGTTTATTTGGTTCCTTTAGTAGATAAGCTTTTAGCTAAAATCCATGTAAGCTAGATACAAATCTAAAATGAATTTTTAAAATATTGCTCACTCAGCTGAAGAACTTTTATTGGAAGTAAATACTGTTATCAAGGTCATTTTCTGTTGAAACGACTTTCAATTTTATTCATACCGTAGAATCACAATTAAGATTTGAGTAAAAATGCTCCTGTCAGTCAAGTGTAAGAAAAGTTATAGGCAAATGTGGAGAAGACGTGAATTTTGTATCTGTTTTTGATTTTTTAATTTGTTCAGTATGTTCTTCACATCTGTAGGAATCTTTTTTAGCTTCCTTCTTCAATGTGACGGGTTTCATTTTCTCTGAATTGTACTTTAGTTGCATGTCAATTACCGAGGTCAAGTGGGGCTATACTTTATTTTAAAGATTCTTCGCTTTGAAACCATAACATCTTCATCATCTTGCTTTGTTTTTCAGAGCTTTGTATTTTAGCTCAAAGTAGAGATATCCATGACTACAGGAAGAACTCAGATTCTCAACTTTTTAGAAATCACATCAAAACTACAAGACTAACAGTAAATAATTAAATATCAAAAGTTCAGTGTAGACATACAGCTTTTTGTATATTGAAGTCATTTAGCTGCTTTCATTGGGCAGGAGTGCTGAAAGTAAAGTTCGTTGCCTGGAAGGCGTCACCGGTGAATGTCCTGGCACAGTGGTCACTTCCCAATGAGAAGGTTCACAAAAGTCCTTGTTTCACAGCAGGTCCTGCCTTGTCATGTTAGACGTAAATGAGTGGCTCACTGCCAGAGACCATTGTGTTTCATATTTCTTCTAGAGCAGAGGAAGAAGAATTCCTTACATTTTAGGGATTCTAAATGTGATTTGAATGTTTACCGTGAAGACAACGTTGCATTTTGAAAGCTGAAGCTACTTGAATTTTTCATTGCAAGAATGATATTCATTTAGAAAATCTTATCTTAAATGAGTTCCTTAATGGGTCAGCATTGGTACTCTTGTCTTGAATCCTGAACTCTAAATACTTAATGTCCACCACTGTCACAATATGGACTTTTACATTACTTTAAAGTTATAAAAATAATTCATAGTTCTTGTGAAAAACATAGAAAAGACAAAGAATAAAATAAAAATGTACCCATAATTTCAAAGCTGAGAGATAACTTCTGTACCCAGTTGGAGTTTTCTGTCTTTTTTTTTTTCCTGGTCACATAAAAGGGAATTTCTTTAATGTACTTGAGACACATCTATAACTTGGTTCTTGTATCCATTTTCCTCACTTTTTCATTATACATTAGGCATTTCCCATATCGCTAAATAATCTTTAAAGACAGACTTTAGTGACTTGAAGGCCTCCTGTATGTTGCTTATTTTATAACTTCTACTCTTATACTGTCTTCCAACAAAAAAACATGTATTAAAATATTGTGGAACTGTAGTTACTAAAGCTGGTTGTTATTTAGTCGTCATAACTACTGTTGGAATTTATGAACTGATGGTAGCAAACAGTAAATAAATCAATTAGGCTTCTATTAATCTGTTTAGGAAGTCATTTGCTTTTTAGGTTGTATAGTGGCTTTTGATGTACGTACTAACAGGGGTGTCCAGCCTCCAGCCATAGGCTGCCTGTGGCTCAGGATGGCCATGAATGTGGCCCAATGCAAAATCGTAAATTTAGTTAAAACATCATGAGATTTTTTGTGATTACATGTCTCAATGTATTTAATAGGTGACCCAAGACAACTCTTGTTCTTCTGGTATGTCTCAGAGAGGCCAAAAGGCTGGATACCCCTCTTTGACCTTGGGACTATTGGTCAAAATCCAGTTTTTGTGTTTCTAGTGGCCTGTATTTGTGACTGCTTGGATAGAGGCAGTATTAAAGACTACTTAAGAGCATAGATTGGTATTATATCTTTACAACTTAGCAGCTGTGTGACTTAGGGCAAATTCACCTTCTTATTACACTTCCTTTTCAAAGTTGGAGTAGAGACTAAATCAGATAGTAAAGTATGTAGCGCAGAGCCTGGCCAATGGGCAGTATTGAATATTCTTGTGTTTTCATTTTTATTTTCATCCCTACTGTGAAGTCTTTGGGCATTGGACAGAGCAAAGGTGATTAGCCTTAGCAGAAGTTGATAAGCATTAAAACTTTTGAAGTAGCTGGCTGTGGGGAAAAAAAAGAAAATAACCCATTATAATTCTGAGCCAACAGGAAGGCCTCATTGAGAAGCTTAGTCTTACGGGTAACTTCAGACTCTGCAATGAGCCAACTGCATGCATGCATTTAAAAAGTTCACTGCTGTGTCTGCAGCGCTTGACAGTCACTAAATGCATGCTGGTGTCCCAAAGAAATGGCTTGTTTCTTCTCATTATTTACCAGCTAAATAGTTTCTACATAAGTGACAGTACTACTCTAATAAATGAGTTTGGATGGTAATAGTGATGGCTTCCACTTACTGAGTGATGACTGTGTTACAGCTAAGAGCTTTTCATGCATTATCTCATTTAGTCCTCCTGGCTAGTCTGTGAGATTATTACTATCATCCATATTTTATAGATGAGGAAACTAAGATTTATTGAGATTTGGTGTTACCTAATGAGAATTCGAGTGCTGGACTGTCTGGCTCAAGAATCTGAGCCCTTAGCTTTACTTATAACTCTATTGAATTTGTTTCGGAATTACCGCACAACCTCATTCATTTGTTCACTCGGCATTTGTTGAGGCCCCACTCTGTGTCCTCACACAGAGTTCTTGGTGCTGGATTATAGCACATAGACAAAAGTTCCTGCCCCACTAAAGCTTACCTTCTGTTAGGTTACTCGTGTTTATTACCCTCCTGGCATGAAGGTTCCCTGCAAGGCACTGACTGTGTCTTATTCCTCTTCAGTTTTAAGTCTCTAACTGAAATTTTATTCAAGGCTGAGAATAATTCCTAGCCTTATGAAGGAACTGTTTCTACAAAAATATTGGAAGCTAGGGCATGCCACCTTCTATTCATCAGGCTGTTTATTTTAGTGCCGCCTTTTAGCATTTCCAGATTCCTTGAACTGGAGATGTTCCAACTGGTACTTTAGGAAGCACTCCGAGGTTTATTATTGTTTATGATGAAGTTACAGTTTGATAGCATGGTTTCTTTGACTTCCCTAAATGTTCTACAAGTGTGTGGAACAGCATAAAAATCTTTTTTCTTTAGAATATACCCCAAATACATCAGACAAACCTAGTACATGCAAGAGGCTTAATTGTATGATACAATAAATAAAGATATTCTGATATAATGGAAAAAATACATGATATAGCAGGGAAGTCCAACTGAGGGGAAGGTGATACCTTTTTTCTTCTGTGATATCAAGGATATTAACATTTTCTCTGCAGTTGAATTATAATTTTAAAGAAGATGCTGTCACAAAGTATTTGTGTTGAATGTCACTTATTAGCCATGTAGAAGTTGAAAATAATTGTAAATATCCTTGGGTGCAGGCCATCATTCTTCACCCAGGAAGTCATCAATAAATATTATAAAGTATGTGGTATTGCAATAAAGTGGTTGACTTATTTTGACATTAAACCTTTTTTTTGGTCCCATAAAGAGCATATGGCTAGTGATATTCCTCATTTTTTTAAGCCATTTGTCCATGAGGGAAGATTACTGGAAAACAGCTGGCTGTTCATTTTAGAGTTTGACATTGCTTCTCCTTGGGACCCTAATGCCGGGCTCTCTGATAACCAATGCAAACTCCATGAATATCTTTCATTTCTCTAGAAGGAGGAGTGGATTTGCAAGGCTACCAGCTGGATATGCAAATACTACCTGACGGCCCAAAGAGTGATGTGGACTTTTCAGAGATTCTTAATGCAATACAAGAAAGTAAGTCTCACTCAAATTTTAAATTCGTTGTGAAAGAAGAAACGCTTATAATACGTGGGAGGGGTACTAAAACTAGAAACCTTGAATGCCAAGCTTTAAAAATAATGATATCTTTAAAAAGATACAGGTTAAATAATGTTGAGACAAGAAGCCATGGTTAGTGAAGCGCAGATTTAATTTGTGAAACTGTGAACCATATAACATTGGGGGCTTTGAAGAAGCCTGATGGAAAACTGTAATGGAATTATAAATTCTGTATATGTAATATGTGATAATATTTTTAAAATCACTAGGCATTATAATTTTTTAGATTTCTGGATTAATAATGCTGGAAGAAAAATATTTAAGAAAGCAGAATACTATCTCTTTGCTCTGATGTGAGTTGTAAGAAGGAAGTATTGATGCAGTAATTTATTCTCCAGAATGGGTATCGGGAGTCGTCGATGGTGGGCTGTGGTCCAGAAGTGGCTGCTCTCTTCTAAGCTGTTTGATTAATCAAGGTGTACTCTTTTTATACTACTTTATTTGTGTTTTATGGTTTTCAGAGACTTTTATCATAATTTATACATTTACTCAGATATAGACTTAGCCTTGGGACTTAGCCTCCTATAGAGGATGAGTGATGCGGTATCACATACTAAGTCTTTAACATTTGTTATCAGAGCTCTAATTCTAGATAATGATGCTTCTTTTTTCATTACAAAGAGGTTATATAATGTCGCATTGGAAGGACTTGGATCTGGAGATCATTGCATTGCATAAAGAACCACTGCAATTTTTTTTGCTACGTTTAGTTTTGCGACATTGCATTTCTGTGTGAGTTTTTAAATAAATTTTAAGCATCTTTGTAGTAGCGATCCCCTTTCGTCTTTGTGACACCCTCCTGGCCTTATGGGGTAATATCTCCACTGTATAGTCCAGACAATTTAGGGTAAAATGAGTTAAGTCTTGATGCCAAGGTGATACGATAAATATTGAAGAGCAGACTAGAATGGAGGGTTAATTCCTTCACAAATGTGCTCAGTATAAGGGCTCGAACACACTGACATGGAGGATTCTAAAGTGGAAGGAGATAAGGCTAGTTTTGAGTACTAATTTTGATGAAGCATATAAGAGGACCAGCTATTTGTTCTGGCTGGGCAATCCCTTTAGATTAGGTTCCTGAAGAAAGAAAAAAAATCTCCCCAGGAGAATGAAAATCAAATTAAGAGACATTAGAGAGAAAATAACTCTTCATGGAAAATTATCAAATTATGTAATTACTTTATTTGGTGTCAAAGAAGATGATAGATTATTCAGTGCTGAAAGGATTTAAAAAATTTTAAATAAATGATAAAATGACTTCTGTGCAAGTGCAGGAGATGAATTTAAAAATTTTTTAGGGCTGAACGAATTTATGTCAAAAATGAACTAAATGCTTATGACACTTTTTATAGTAATTTTTGTTAGCATTAAGGACCCAGGACATGGACAGTGGTCTGGGAATGGACTGTGCAGTGGGGGACAGGCTGGGTGGAAGGGGGGTGGAGGGGGGGACATTTTGGGACAACTGAAATAGTATAAACAGTAAATTGTTAATAAAAAACAAAAAATATATAGGCCTTTAATATCAGTAAAACTCCTTCTCTCTTACATTTTTAACAGGATGATGGAAAGATATCATTGTTTTCTAAGATTTTGTAAACATGTATGGCCTTCAATATCAAGCTAGGAGAGTATGCGTGTGTACCCACGTGCACATGTGTGTACCCGTGTGCATGTGCATGTGCTCGTATGTATTTTAAACACTTCTTGAGTCTGAGATAGGCCAGACTGAAGAAATGCTGTTGTGATTTCATTTTTAAAATAAACCCTAAGTAATAGCAGATGCGAATTTCTCCATTTTAAAGGTGAAGAAACTGACTATACCTCCCCGATGCTATATGGTTAATATACAACAGTCAATGTTTAATCATGTAGCAGCCCTCATTCTGCTAAATAAAAGCTTAAATGAGAATAATTTTTTAAATGAACTACTTTGGATTTTAAAAATTTTATTACTGTTACCTCTTAATGTAAGAACTCCTTCCCATCCTTCTACACTGTAAAACATATTTGCATTTTTTTCCTATAGTGCTTATGCCCCAAGAATAGCTTCATTTGTTCAAACAAAGATGTCTCAGGCTGGCTATCCATAAGTTGTTTTTCAACTTCCCTCATATCAGATATACAGCTTATAAGGAAGAACAGACTTGCTTTATCTGTTCATGTATCCATCTCACCTGTTATGTATCAGGTACTGTGCTAAGCATAATATTTTAAAGCAGTGTTGAGCATTTTGGTGCCTAGTTTAGTTCAGGGAAAATTAAAATGTTCACTGGTCACATTTTGTTTTATTTTTTTTTACATGAAAACAACTTGATTGCTTTCTAGGGAAAAAATCATTTATATGTGGCAGTATGATGTAAGGGTGTGTGCGTTCCTTGATGTTTTCCCTCCTTTCTTTCTTCTCTTCTTTTGCTCCTCATCCTGTGGTGGCAGCATCTTCCTTGAACTCCTTTGTTTCCACAGGGGTTTGGGTTGTCTGAAGTTCCTGGCTTCTGTTTTCCACAAGTCTGAGCTTCTAAGTGGGTGATGCTTGGATAGGAAGAGGTGGAGGGGTGGGGAGAGAGAGAGAGAGAATTCCCAAGATCAGTTCCCTTCCAGTCCTTGTGTTGACGGGAGAGACCTGGTTCTTCTTGTTGACACATGTAAAGAATTACAGATAAGCACATCTAGTAGTATGTCATCAGTGTATTAGTGTCTGTTCCCAAGGAAGAGAACAGGACTGGGTAGAATAGGGGGTAAAAGACAAATTTCAGGGCAAAGTAGGGTGACAAAAGCAAGAGCAGCTGAAGACCAGGGTGGCCAGCCCCTGGGCAGCCTGAGGCCAGGTGGCCAGAGGCCCAGTTGCCCGAGAGCCAAGAGCACTCAGAGTCCGAGAGAGAGAGAGAGAGAGAGAGAGAGAGAGAGAGTGAGTCCTGTGTTCTGAGGACTTACATAGTTGGTGGCATGGGAGGGAAAAAGTTGCATATTGATTAACCGGTAAATGCGGTGCCAGCTTTCCCAGGCGGACACGACTACCCAAACGTAGGTACGTGTGGGGGTCTGTTAGCCACAATCCTTATCTTGCTCCAGACCCCATTTGTTCATCTTGTTGTAAAACAAGTATGTGACAGGAGGCAGTTAATTAAAATTGAGGCACTTTCCAAAGTTATTTATGAGCTCTTTCTGAAAGCATCAGGGCCTTCCTCGTAAAACAGATAGTGACCAGAGGTAGACAATTAACCAAAGTTGTCTCATGGGCTCTTTCTTTGGGCACCGGGGACCCTCTCCCACATTTGGGCCTTGGGATCAGAGCACAGTTTCAAGGCTTTCTTTCCCAGATAGTGTAAATATTACATAGAATTTCAAGGACTTCCCTTCTTTCTTGCTAACATAGTGTTTCTTGTGATGTTGGAGTACCTGGTGATATTATCAGACCCAGCTCAGGACTGCTGAGTTAGCATGTGAGTCTCCTTCCTCCTCCCTGCTTCGGTTTACTATTTACTTCACCTGATTGGTAAAAGGTGTTTCCTGGCAACCAGTGTGCTAAACACTGGCCAGTAACAGCACTGTAGTCTTAGAGTTCTTCCTGTGCTGTCTCCTGTCTCTCTTGCAGTGTGCTGTAGTGGGTGGTGGGCACGTGGCTCCTTGTGGGTGGGTGAAAAGGGAGAGAACGTCTATGCTGTGTGTCTGGGGAATGATACCTGAGTCACCTGAACCGCAGCCCTGACTGCGATTCCCCAGCCTGAGGAGGGAACAGATCCTGCTGTGCTCAGGGAACTGGGGAGGCTCCGGGAAGGCAGCAGTCTCATCTTCCAGTTTGTTCTATCCCTCGTCCCTTGGGTCAGAGTAGGGAATTTAATACCTGCTCCAGCTTGATACATCTTGTTTTTTTAAAAATATATTTTATTAATTATGCCATTACAGTTGTTCTATTTCCCCCCTTCATTCCTCTCCACCCTGCACACCCCCTCCCCCACCATTCCCCCCTTTAGTTTATGACCACGTGTCTCAAGTTCTTTTAGATTCTATATTTCCCCTACTATTCTTGCCCTCCCCCCTATTTTCTACCTACCATCTATGCTACTTATTTTCTGTTCCTTCTCCCCCTTCTCCTCCTCCCACTCCCCTGTTGCTAACCCTCCATGTGATCTTAATTTCTATGGTTCTGCTCCTGATCTAGCTGTCCTCTTAGTTTGCTTTTGTTTTAGGTGTGGTTGTTAATAACTGTGAGTTTGCTGTCCTTTCACTGTTCATCTTGTTTATCTTCTTTTTCTTAGGTAAGTCCCTTTAACATTTCATATAATAAGGGCTTGGTGATGATGAACTCCTTGAATTTGATCTTACCTGAGAAGCACTTTATCTGCCCTTTCATTCTAAATGAAAGCTTTGCTGGGTAGAGCAATCTTGGATATAGGTCTTTGGATTTCATGACTTGGAATACTTCTTTCCAGCCCCTTCTTGCCTGCAAGGTCTCTTTTGAGAAATCTGCTGACAGTCTGATAGGGACTCCTTTGTAGGTGACTGTCCCCTTATCTCTTGCTGCTTCTAGGATTCTCTCCTTCATTTTAATCTTGGCTAATGTAATGATGATGTGCCTTGGTGTGTTCCTTCTTGGGTCCAACTTCTTTGGGACTCTCTGAGCTTCCTGGATTTCCTGGAAGTCTATTGCCTTTGCCAGATTGAGGAAATTCTCCTTTATTATTTGTTCAAATAAGTTTTCCACTGGTGGCTGTTCCATTCCCCCTTCTGGTACCCCTATAATTCGGATGTTGGAGTGTTTAAAGATGTCCTGGAGGTTCCTAAGTCTCTCCTCATTTTTTTGAATTCTTGTTTCTTCATTCTTTTCTGTTGGTCATTTTTTTCCTCCTTCTGGTTCACTCCTTTGATTTGAGTCCCAGTTTCCTTTCCATTACTATTGGTTTCCTGTGCATTGC